AAGTCGAACCGGTCGCCGGAACCCGTACGGCATCCCCAATGCCGTGATTCATCCTTGATTCGAGAGCTCTCGAGAGCTAACGATAATTGTAGTCCCGGTTAACATTATCTGTGGCACGAAAAACCTTGAAGATAGCCCCCTTCGGAAATTTTCATTATTTACACTCGCACTGCTGTAAATTACACCGGCGATACACAACAGCAGCACCGAGAAACCGTAGATGGCCGCCGATGATATAGGAATAAATGGCACTTGACTTGTTACTGAGAAATCATGCAACTGGCGTAGGGTTACAGTGTTAATCGAATCGTTGTACTGTACGACGTCGACTTGGCAGTTAATTACGACGCCGAGTGTCGTTTCGATGTTACGTACCCTGTAACTGTCAGAGTTGAAAGTCCTGTAATAATCTCGTAATATTCAAATTCAGATGTTTTTTTTTCGATTTATTTGAAAAATATGTACAATAATTGTCAAAAGTGTCTAACCAATGAATAATTTGATTGTGTTTCTCGGATACATTGCAAAAAAATATAAAAAATTACATAAATAATATAATTATTTATTTAATAATAATTATAATTTATAGTGGAAAAATATAAAATTGTGCGTTGTTATAAAAATTAATTATTATCCTAATTGTATAAATATATCTGTATTAAATGGACAATTTTGCTGACAATAATATATTTTATAGTTTGATAACATATTTGCATTTTTTTATGTTCGGCAAATTAATATGTAAATATTTCTATAACTTCAATTGTAAATTTATTTTTGCAAGTCACTATAGAAAACTAATTTTATTTATAAATTGTGTGACTTTACTCTACATACATATATGATGTGTAGAAATATACATTTTTAATAATATATAAGCCCAAAAAATTACTCAAAACAATTATAATAATTTTACATGTAATTCGTTACAATACAAAAACTTTTACATTGTAAATCTCTATACTGTAAAAATTTGTTTTATTTACAAATAAAACTATCTGCACAAATAAAAATATCTGCAGATATTTAATACATTTTGTAAATAATTAATAATAAGTATTTTATAATATAAATAAAACAGTTTATAATATTAAAAATTATTGTACAATAAAATTATATGTTGCCTAAAAATTTTGAGCAGCATTCATAGAAATCAAGTGTTCAACAAAGATCTCTTGAGTTACTAAATATTAGCTTTGATATTAACGATAAGGAAATACGTTTTGTGCGTCCCTATTAGCAGTGACTTAAATTTTTCTTTTATCCTTATTGTCAATTTCAAAATTTAAAATGCATAATATAGTGTAATCATTTGTAGTAATTGCTGTATATTTGTATGATGATAAGATCTTAAAAAGGATCTGACAGCAGCTTATTATCGCAGTTCGTATGTCTCTCACAAATATCGTAAATTACATTAATCGAGCTCAAAATATTGAAATGTGAAACGCGAAATACAAGAACAAGAAAGTAGTTATAATGAACAGACGAAAGGAAGGAAGATAATGGTTTAATAGCTGGTTTTTTCATTGCGACGATAATTTGCGAGTATATAGGAGGGCAACATAAAAGTCAAACGTCTTCGTCTTATCTGTCACAGTCATCACAGAATATCTATCATAAAAGTAGAAATTGATACATAATGAACAATAAAAACAGAACAATCATTATAAGTATGAGTGTCCAAACCGAATGTAACTTGTTTTTTAAGTTTTTCATAAATTCGAATCATATTTTTTTGTAACTTAAGAGATGTCAGTTAATCTTTTATTTAAGGTTCACATTCGGATCAAATCGAATACATAAGCCTACCGATTGATCACCTCTTGCAGCAAAGTCGAAATGAAAGCTCGAGATCGGCGTTCGTCCTGCATTTCGCTCGGACATCGCAGTGTCGATACCTTACGGACTAATGATGAACTTCGTACTCTTTCATCGAGACTAAGGCACACGGAAAATATTCGCAATCCCATAAAGCAACATGTTATCTACATATATTTTAATTCATTTGTAATTATTTACTTTCCACAGTGTATATCATATATATTATTTATCATATTATTCGATTTATGAGTTTAACTTTTTTACATTTTTACATAATGTTAATGTGGTACTATTGTCTAAATAATTAAAATATTGCTTTCACAAAATGAAAAATAGCATAATTTTTCCATCATTATAAATACCTTGAAAATAGAAGAACATCAAGCGCAATCGAGAACAATAAACCTAAATCACTGTTATACAATATTCCTTATGAAATAGAGGTATGCAATCGATTGATATTACAAGAAAAAAACTCAAAGCAAATTAAAATTTGCTTTTGATCTCGAAATTACCGCATCGATTCGCAGGTTTTCGCGAAAAGCGGATGTTCATTGTCTTCATTGATGTGGTCATTTGCGCGACGAGAGAGCTATCACGTAAGAATTACATCTTACGACATACGCAACTACGTTGCATAAAGATGTAACGAGTGTGACATGCGATCAATGAGACGGGTAATAAACTCTCTAGTTACGGCTGTCACTCAATTGTGAAAGAATTCCGTCTGCTTTGTGTGTCATTGTTCAAATATAAATTCCGGAGCACTGTCCTCGCATACTTTCACCGCCATGTTCTATAACAACAACAATGAATCGTAATACTTCCTTACAACAATTTGTCGCTTTAGAGAGAGAGAAACAACTTCCTGAATGAAGTTTACTTATCGATAATGTTTTGTTTTTAAATTTAATGATTTCAGAAAGAATCTGTCAAAACAAATTTAAAACAAACGACATATAAAACAAATATAAAACGTTTAAACACTACTAAATAAATATTATAAGATTTCAGAAAAAAGAAATAGTTTTTATGAAATTTTTTCAATTTATTTGGAAATGTTGAATGGTTCGAATGGTTGGTTTCGTCGAAGTTCGATTTCGTTCGCGTGAATTATTATTCGCGTTATTACAGGCGAAGGGTAATTAGTATGGCGCATTAGTATGATCGACGTTATTATTTTCACACTGTACGATTCTCACGGCACGCGGCGGTGAAGCGTACACTGCAAGGTGGAAAAAGCGGTAAACTTCACTATGTTGCGCCGCGATATTCCGCATCACCCTTATTGCTGCCACGTTAAATGTCAAGATGTTCTCTTGTATGATCGGGAAAGTTCTGGGTTAACCCGATGATGGTATAATTACAAAATTGATGTTCATCGCTTGTATACAATTACACGTCAAAATCATTTCTGCGCACCATTATAACGTACTATAGTATTGACAAAGTATAATATAATCGATTCAATGATCAAGTTCATTTGTTAATAGATACCAGCAAATGCTAAAAATAATTGATACGTAAAGAACAATTTATTGTTGCAATTGATAGATGTTGACATAAATGTAAACGTCTGAGAAATAATAAGATATCTAATGTACTGCAAAAAGATATACTATACTTTCCGATAATAAAAATCTTTATTTGTTCTTTCGATGCGCCTTATAAGTGAACAAATATTTTTCTAAAAGCAAACATTTAATATAGCATTTAATTATCGCATATCCAGTTGTTTCAATTAAAAAATTTTTCGGATTAATAATTGAGAGACACGACATAAATAAACATTTTGTATTTGTGTTAAAATCAACGCTTGTTAAAATTTTTGTTTTAAATATTTATTGTAACCGAATGTTAATTTAACTGATTTAATATAATGTGATTATGTTATTTGAATATTTTGTGTTTAGGTATTTAATATTTCTTAGCGTTCACATGATGAGTAAATGATTAAATAATATAAAACCAATGTGATTTTATAACATAAATTTTAAAATAAATATATAAAAGATGTGTTAATTTTACATATTATAAATGTTAACTAAGAAAATATATTTCCACAATTTTTGTTTCTAAATTGTGTTAAAGTGTTACATTTTTGTATTAGTATTTACACAATGTTTGTGGTATTTTCTGATACAGTCATCTCGTGTTAAATTAACATAAAAATTTAAATAAACCATTTGAAACACATAAAAAATATGTCAAATTTAATAAAATTTTCCAAGTGTGTAATAAAAATGCTGCTTCTCTGTTACTTGAATCCTATAACGATGTCATCGACATTGAAATCTCTGTCGTTGATATCTTTGGTGAAAAATGTACTTTGCGAAGGCAGACATCCTTGGGATGAGAATACAAGATGGTCTCACACTGTGAAATTGCATCTCTGAAAATCAAGGCGTTTTGAGTGGTCAAGGGCTTCACTCGATTGGCGCTACGTTATGCATGTCTATCTTTAAGCAATGTCGAGGTAAAATTACTTATCATCAATTGCAATATATATCTTATAAGGCAATGTATAATTTATTAACTGAATCTTTTGGGTTGAGAAATAATAAAATTGTTACAATACAATCACTCGATCTTTATACGCATCTTCAATCATTTATAAATTATTAATATTCAAAATAATAAATCATAAGAGTGAGAAAACAATAGCTTTTAATTATATCAGAATGTTATTTACATCTGGAAAACTTTTAAGATATTTATTTCAGAATAAAATAAAGAAACACAGACAAATAATTTATTAAGAAGCAAATAACGATAGTACTAAAAGAAGAACAGAAAAAGTCAGTTTATGTATTCCAACGTATTAACTGATTAACATATTCGAAAGTTAAAAAAGTATACGTAATACTGAATTATTCCGTGCAGCAATTTAAACTTGCGTAGGATATCGTGATAACTCACGCATTTATTTAAACATTAATCATCGATCGTTATCAGTATTTTCGCATCATGCGGCTCGCTGTAATATGAAGTTACGTGATGAATAAAAATTGGAAGAGAGCCCGGGAAATGCAATAGAAATTTTCAATGTCTTTGTAAGGCGAACTCGCGTGCTGAAGTTGAGGCGGAGGTCGGGCCCATGGGCGGGCCCCGCCGCTCCCGAAGGGGACCTATATAAGTAGACTTACTCGGCGTATAACGCGATCCTATAACACAATCACTTCTGCCTCATCATCAACCAGACATGCATCCTCCTGTAAGTATTGTTACCTCTTTCTTCCTTTTTCTTTTCTATTTCATTTATAAACGTTGACGTAACAGAAATTACTTTGTGTTCGTGGCTAAATTTAATTCCAATAATTAGGACACGTAAAAATGTTTTTGTGCGATATTATAATGTGCTTTAATTAGCGTGAAAGATTGAAATAAATTGGAATATATAAAAGTGAATATTTCTGTATGGTGAATACTGAAGAATGTGCTGTATTATGATGTGCGCGATTATTAGTACGAATTATCGAAGCGGATTGGAATTCAAAAGTGAGTAAGAGTGAAAACTTTTTATTCCGTGAATATAAATGACTTATAAGGATTACATTAATTTCAGTGAAAATTATAAACATCTTACAGTTATATAAATTATGTTACATTATTATTGTTTAAATATCTTTTATAAACAAAAAAAATTATAATAATCATGTTTATGGTTATTGCAGTTACGTTTCAATGGTTATCGATCAGATTATTATTATAACTAGCGTTTGTATTTTTTCTGAAGAAACGAGTATTAACAAAAGTTAAATTTTACGTAGTTGCTCATTTAAAAAAATTCATGTAAAAATTATGATAATAATTTTATGATAATAATTTATTGTCTTCGCGCCATCTTGTCATCGACTTTCCTCGAATACGCGTACGAGGCCATTGGAAAGTGTTCCGAATACCGACGTTTTTATGCAAATTCATGTCACCAGGTGCTGTTTCTCTTGTTTTGTCTTGGCTTTGCGGTCGCCCAGCACAATCAACCGTATCATGTGACTACACCGGTACCTATCTTAAAACAGATAAACAAGTGAGTGCCGGATTAGCATTATGTAATATTGTAATCGCATGAAAGCGACGAAACGCAATAGAATATCTTTGAATTTTTTTTCTGTGTAAAAGTTATTAAAATATTTTTGTAAATTTTGGTTTTAAAATTTATCATATTATTTTTATATTATTCTGACAAACGTGTTTTGGAAAACAATTTGTAAAATATAAACTGAAATTAATTTTTGACAGGCACAATGAGGATGGTAGTTACAGTTACGGTTTCGAGGCGGCGGACGGCTCGTACAAGATCGAGTCCAAGTATCCGAACGGCGAGATTTACGGTAAATACGGCTTCGTCGATGACTCTGGAAATGTGCGCGAGGTCGAGTACGGCGCGTCCAAGCGTGGCTTCGAGCCAGTCGGTGCTGGGATAAACGTGCCCCCGCCAACCTTGACCGGTAACAGCATCGCCAGCAACGCGAATGAACCCGAAGACGATGGCCAGTACCGTGAAGATCCGTCAGTCTATTACACTGACCCACGTTTCACCAACGGGGAACGTTATGAAGTACCACCCAAGTACAAACAACAACCGATCGCTTATAATCGGCCACAACAGTTTGCACCGGCTGCTTATAACCAAAAGTGAGTCGTAATATACTTTAGCATGTAAACTATCACAAAAAATGTCTGTCTTTTAAATTTTAACGCGAAATTCTTTAATCAATTTTGCATTTGTAATTATCGATATTATAATTAATATTCAAAAATTTAAAACATATTTTGAATTCGACATAGAGATTATTTCTTCATTAAGATTATCTTCATTAAGATTCTTAGTATTGCTCTACATGACATCTGCATTAAATTTTTCAGTTGTATTTGATAGATTATGGAGTTTGTTAATTTTTATGCGGACGAATCGATCAGATTAAAATGCACATGGGAAGATCGGCTCACTTCGGAGAATGCAAAGAGATAACGAGCAGGTTAAATGTCAAGTGAATCACTCGAAAGTACAGAGATCGTGACTTACTCAACTTAGCGGGAAATCGGTCGCACCTCTGCGCTTCTCAGCGGGAATGGGAAAGGAATCGGTTAATCCAATTTTTCAAATTTTCAGATATAAGACTCCCATTAATTACCGACAGGCAGCAGTGAAGTCGCGGTTTCAACCGGAATATCGACCACAATATCGATCACAGTACGAACCGCAGTATCAAGGTCAGCAACTGCAATCCGTGTATCCTTCGCCCACGATTCCGGCCGGTCTTGAAGGACATGGCGCGACTAACTTCGATATCAATGCCGGATTGGCATCTTACACGGTTAATTATAAACGATAAAGAAAGAGGGTGAAAAGAGAAAGGAAGTCCAGCGCAATCATACATAAAATTGCATGTGTATATACATTATTTATAGATATTCTGAGATCGTTACTGAGCATTTATTTCATTACTGCATGTAAAACTGTTAATGTTCTCCGTCGGAATATTTTCGACATACTGATTTAATAGTAATTTAGTGGTAAGTTGTATCACAGTATAAGCACTTTTGATCAGTCTATATATCATACTTTAGATAGTATCTGCCTTCTGTCCACTCGAATTTCGAATGAGACGGTATTTTCTACCTCTTCCGAAGAGTCTCTATCTTTTGCACTAGAAAATTATATTTTTTTCTACGATTTACTTATTCTTAAGCTTAATTTCAATTATACGTCTCTCCATTCTTTTCATTTAATAATGACGCGTATTAATATTTAAGGAAACGCTATAGTGATCAAATTATTAACATTGCAATCATATAAAAATCTCCGAATTGACTGAGTAGAATCGAAAACCCCTTTATAGGATTAAAATAGAAGTTTAGGAGTGTTGCAGTTGACCTTATACTAAAATCGAAAAAAGTTAAAAATTTATTTAATTTTTTTTCGATTTTAGTATAAAACCCACAGCTGCATCTGTACTATCAATTTGTCATCCCTTTACTTTACTCCTTGGCTGGCAGTGGCTAGATTATTCGAGATTCGATAGGTATCCTTTATGCCCTTAAAAATATTCATTAAATATTTATTAGCTCTTGAAAATTACTCGTACATTTACTTTTACATAACAAAAGTGTCAAATTAAAAAATTGTTGCTTTTTCCTGTTGTTTTATATATCACTATATTTATATCGTTATATTATTATATTTGTATAATTATACAATTATACTGTATTTATATGATACATAAAACTGGAGCGACTTTCTGATTATCTAATAGAATATCGATCAAAAATAATCTAGCTACAGTCCTTCGAATGGTAAATCTTCCGAGGATTAATACGTGTAGAATTAATTTATATGATATCCGCAACTTCATCTGAAAAATCTATAATAAAATATGCGTTATACTTGCAAATAATTTGGGAACGACGTCTAAATGTTAATTCATATTTAAAAGTATAATATTTCAGATATAACAAAAAATATTACGTATATACAACGTTGCGTTAATTATTATAAAATAAGACGTAATTGCGAGATCAACAGCAATTCAGATTTAATCTGAAGAATGCGTCCAATTAACTTGTATCGATTATACGTTCGTTTCTAATAATATAAATTAACTTTATATTATTCTCTTAATCTCTTAACTTTAATCTCAATTCAATTTACTCTTCATCTTTCGTTCCTTTTAAGAATTAAAAAAGATAAAAAGTAAATTGAATCAAGAGCAACGTCAATCTACATTGGTAGAAACGGGTAGTGATACTGATCGGTACATAGGGTGTTCTAGAAAGAAAGATTAATAAAAGATGATGGTATCAGTTATTTTGAGTAAAAATGTTCACATATCTTATTCTGAACAGTTCATGCATGCTAAATGATGTTAAATATATATTTTTTTTAATTTATTACATATATAAACTTTAAAAAATATATCACTTGAACAATGATCAATTATTTAAAAAAATCTCTCTTCCCAAGCTTCTTAATTTTGCAACTGTTCATTTAATCTCAGAAGTTGTTCAAAATAGAATACATATTTATATACAAATATTTTTATTTAAAATGATTGATATCATCACAGAATATTGACCTTTCCTCCTGGGACACCCTGTATAATCGAATAATCTAATCAATATACTTATTGGCAAATTCAAGTCATATGTGCAAAATATACGCACTAGTAATGGAGATTCCTAGGTCCCTATTTGATGGTTGAAAACGCAATTAACATTTTTCCTCAGCGTACGCGAAGAACGCCATCGGACTACATCAGGACACACCCAAGAATTTTATCATTGAGTAACATCTAAGGTCTTAACGTGTTAACCTTCGCACTCGGCCTTTCCGAACGCATGTACAACAAAAATTCACGTGCACTGTGGCGGATCGGATCCGCCATTCGATCTTTTCTCCGCATTCCTTTGAATTTTTTAGTCTTCTTCGCAGTCCTTATTTCTCACACACTTCTCGTTATTCATATCCGATACCAATCTGTTTTTGCGTTTGTCACAGAAATATACAGAAATATATTTTACGTTTGCGAATTTTGTTTTAACGATAAATATGAACATTATTTGATTACAGAAGGATAATTAGAGTTTATTTTATTATATTTTTCGCGATAAAAAAAATCTCACGTAAAACTACATTTTAATTGAACTAAGTCAAAATAACAAACTTTAATTAAAATGTTGTTTCGATAGAGTGATATAAAATTCTTTTGAAAATAATAATTTAATTTAAGTATACAAAAACATGTCTTAAATTTGTAATATAAAAAGAATATATAATATATTCAATAAAACACAACATACAAATTGCCTTTTTTTGTATCCTATCATTCTTTCATGGTAATGACTGAATTCTTACGTGGACATAAGGAACAGTTGGCTCGTGCCAGTATCGTGTTCCAGCTTCTGGTTTAGGATCCTAATCTCCACGCATGGGGCTTACACGTCGCGCATACCTGATACGTGGAGAGTGCCACGGACCACCGCCCAAGTCCACCTTTCACAATATAATCCGCGATCTACTCGATTCCGCTGCGAGATCAGCGTCTACGGTTCAATCGAGCACATGTTTATCGAGGCATCAGTTCTGCGAGAGAAAAATTCAATACAGCTCTTTCTAGACTTCCGTAAACACAATAGAATCGTTAAGAGATCGCGTAAATTATCAAGATAGTAAGCTTGTAGATACATAATTAGGAAAAGACAAATAAAATATTGTAATTACAATAAAGTATTCGCTTGGCATCGAAAAAATAAATTAATTTGTTTATCGCTAATATCGTATGTTTAATTTTGCATCATATCAAACACCAATTAATTACCATGATACATTGTAAACGCACGTATAAAACTCATATATTTTTTTGTAATGATATTTTAAAAAAGTGTTCTTATATATAAAAAAGAAAGTACACGCAAACGTTACACTTGATGACTTGTCGATACTGGTGATCGAGTTTTCATTCCTCCTTGTCTTCAATGTATTTACCGCTGTGCGACACGCGTGCATGCAATACCGCGATTCCGCGTTCACTCTCAAGACATTCTGATGCAAGGCGTGGTGCGCCAGATGTCGGCAGAACTTGCTTTCCTTTATCGGTGTAATGAACACGTATAACTTTCCTCTTTTTGTCGCAGCTACATAATTATAAAACAAGTCCATTCGCGCTAAGTTAACTGAAAGTCATTTGTATTTCCTATCAAAACACGATATATTATAATATTGTACTAAAATAACTCTAGCTTTTCTAATATTTGTATTTATTTATTCATTTATTAAATTTTCTTTCTTTTTAATTTTTATATTTTCAGTTCACGCTATGCTACAGTCTGTTAAAACATGTTATGAATTGCAACAAAGATTGAATAAAAAATTAGCGTTCGTTTCGCCATAACATGTATCACTAATGATTATTCACGCAACCAAATAATTCACTCTTTATTTGTTCGTGAATAATTCACACGTTAAAAATCAATAAAATTTAACATGAAGCTTTTTATTAATAAGAAAATGTCACGTTTTTTTCATATAATTTTTTTTGCATTTCTTTAATATATATTGCAATATGTTAATATACATATCATGTTGATTTTTAATATTGAGTTCATTATAATATAGATAACTTTAAATAGAACTACTTAATTTTATTAATATATGTATTGGTAACACCATAAAAAAATTGCAATTTAATTTTTCTTAGCTAACATTTTTTATAATACAGATTTCAATATAAAAAAATAATTTTCTGAAAAATTACTTAAAGAATATTTTACTACATTTTAGTTTTCAATATTGTACCTTAATTTTAAGACGTAAAATAATTTATACATAATTGTGCGCGTGTCTACTGGTTCTTTTTTACCGAATACGCGCGCGTGCCACGACGATAGAATGACTTTTACGTTTTAGATAATCCAAGCGCTAATCATATCACCTTCTCTTAGCGAGCGCCGAACACACCATCGAGTTTTTGCGGACTTGAGATCCAGTTCCTGCGCGAACCGTGATCGAGTTGTCGTTAAGCTCGGCCAATCCTTTCCGATTGTTGCATAAAAATAGAAAGTCGTAACGTTAATCGGAGGAAGCTGCTAACTTCGAATTGTCATCGAACCGTTAAAAAATTGTGCGTTTCGATATCCGGAAAAATTGTCACTGATAACTGATTATTCTTGATTATGTTGTAATCTTGTTGGATTATTTGCGGCAACAGCCTGAGATTGGCTTTTGTTGCAAATCGTTGCACTGCCCAGTGACAGTTACATAATAAAAATGCCACAAAACGCAGGAGACAAGAGGAACGTACGTCATGAATAGCATTATTGGACGTCCTACGACCGCATATCAAGGAACTAATTCGACCTGAGATGATCTATATCAGTAAATGTCAGGGCTAGCAGCACTACGGCTATTTTCGAAGAGAGCGACTTGTGAAAGGCGAAACTTGCATACTTCATAACAAATTACGCAGAATTCTGTGTGTATATGTGTTATCATATATTATGACTGGATAATACTTAACTGAATTAAAGGGAAATTTACGATGAGACCTATTCGATCTTTCTTTAAGTATTATTAGACTATTATGAATCTGATATGTTTCTGTTTCAATATTAAAGAAGAGTGGTATTAAAAATTTATTAATCATTCTTATTTAAATCGTTAATTATTTAAATGCTTGAAAAATACGTTATCATATATTTAAAACATTCTGTTCTTATGATACTAATGTTTAATACGTTTCTACTTTTTCTAATTAAAATAATCGGCATTAATTGACGTCTTAAATGTATCATCTACTAATTCAATGAAACTTTACGAGTTAAAATGGTATAATGGAAGCTATCATATCATTTGATATAGGCAATATACAATGATTAAACCAATTGGTCTATTAAAATATTAAAAACTTTTTTCAATTATTGTAAAAATCGATATATTACTCCCTTTCACCGAGCGGCATTGGGAGTCACCGCGAAATCTTCGGCGAAACGAAACTGTAAATGCAGACATAATATGGGTCATTCACGGATGATTATCATGAATCTTAATTGTGGAGTACGCTTCGTGGAAGTCATCATTAAACCACACCACCGTAATCACGTTGAAGACCTTGAGGACGCATTACATAAGCACAAGAAAAAAAAGTATAAAATTTCCTCTTTTCACATTTAAAAAAATAACACGTTTATATTTTATATATTACACAGTATACTATAAATATATTCATTACAAGTATATGTAAGATTAATATGTGATATTACTACTCTAGTTTCAGTTTAAGACTATATTTCAAGACCAACAAATAACCGACGTACAATTTGCTTAAACCGAAAATTGTATCATAAAAGATATTATTAATCAATAATTTTTTTCAATATAACAATAATAATTTTTATTATTTCAAATAATTGTGTTGTAAGTTTGAAAGTAATCGGCGCAGTTATATCCAAAATAGATATATTTAAAGTTATAGAGATAGAGAGAGAGAGACTTCAATATAATTAGGCTACTGATTCAATATGATAAAAAGAGATGAACCTAATACAAAATCTGAATTGTATTTGTTTCAGTTCACATATGCATATGTCCTGTCTATGAGTATCGGGTAAATTTATGTTGAAAAGTTAGTCATTACAGAAATTATGACAAATGTCAAATGTTATTTCATGGTAGCTTTTTAATTTTATTATATTCTGAAAAATAAGAATATAGAAAATGCAGTGTAATAAACTGTAATAGTCAATATAAAGTAGAAAGCAATGTTAATTTTATTTTCAAAAGTATTATTATAAAGATAAAGAGATAATACTTATGTAGATACTTCAATACCTATTTGAACAATGATTATTCGTGTTATTTATACATGTCAAAGTGGGTTCAAGGCAGAAAAGCGGTAGCCAATCAAAACTCGCGATGGTAGTCGCTGGTTTTGGCTTTCTGTACTGTTTACTGCCAATGCATATTTTTATTGGTTACTGTTTTTCTGCTTTCAGGTTTTCTGTCAAGGTCTGAACGCTCTGCACCCATCCTAAAAATGAATGAACACAAATATGGCGCTGCCCACCGCTGTTTTCAAACATGGAGGTCAAATCGGCACACGCACGCACACACAAAGTCTACTTAAAGGAATTCTGTATTTAAAATACACATGGAAATATTATTATACACATCTAGCTTCGATTGTAGTTAGTGCTTTTGTTATTTGGCTGATTAATTTTAAATAATTTAATTTATATTACATTAAATAAAATTATTAAAATTATATTGAAAATATCGGAGTCGATACATTATCGATATTAATTAGAGCGTGACGCGGCGAGAAAAATTAGCTAACGAAATAAGAGGCGGGAATATCAGCCGATTGGTCTGCCGGCCATCTAATATGCCGATAGAAAGTTACAAAATGCCGATCCACCGCATAATTTCACAGGCGGAACCCATGCGATTCGTGGCGCGGTTTCGTAAACTCAGGTGAAAACATTACGAGTGACCGGTCGGCCGGCCTGTAAAGGCCGTACTCCATTTTACCGAATCGCTGCTCAACCTTGCATTCGGTCAGTTTCAAGGAGACGAACGAGAGTCACGCCATTATATTTTGAGACTCAATGCCGTGCTTTCCATTCCCAGACTATAACGTGGAATCTAACGGAAACCAGACAGCGCAAGTGTATGAATCTTAAAGGCTGTTTATATTTCAATATTATTCCTTCTTTTCCGCTTATATGTAATACGTTAATTTGTTTGTGAAAATTATCACTCCAAAGTCATGATATAAGACAAATTATAATAGAATATTTCTCCATAAATTTACACAGTTTATCTTATCCTATCGATATTTGATTTTCAAATATGTATAATCAAATTAGGGCGAGGCGATATATAATAATAACACTTTCTCTTTTTCAAGATACTATTATACTTGAGCATAACCGAGAGTGAGTGTCGCGGGGCAGAACGTATTGTTGAGATTGATATTGCATAAACCCGACGCTTCGAATTGCGGTCAATTACACTTGATCCTCCGCACGTCAACGATCTCGTACAATTTATGTGTTCACAGGAAATGCGATTTCGGTAGGAAATACTTCAAGCATAGCCAGTGAGAAACTTACGTCTTCTCATTAAACTTTAATAGCTAGTGGTCAAGTATGCGTTGATACTATTATGCAGGTTTTATTTCTTCGCTTTCGTAATAATTTAACCTAAAAGCTAAGAATTTAATCATTGAAAAAATTTAACTAGATTAGATAAGCTGGAAGTATTTCACTGGATTATCGAAACAATTACATAGAATAATTGCTAGAAGACATTTCGATATTACTAGCATTATCATCATATTTTATTACCTACGTAACTACTTCGATAATTCAACAAAATTATTTTTAGATTTGTGTACCTAGTCAAATTTTTAAATACTTCAATAAAATTGTTCTTTCCATGTTGATAAAAAACATATAAAAAATATCTAAATGATATTTTCTTTTGAATTATAAAATAATTAATATAAGCCTCGAGCTGGTATTTATTTTACACTAATGACTTTTGATAGTTGCACCGTAATGTTTACAATCTAAGTGGACATATACCTAAGTTTCTATATGTAAAAGACATAAGTAGACTCTTAAATTTGTAAGTTGCAAATTAATTTTAAAATAGGTATAAAGTATAACATGTTCAGGGTAGTTACACAAATGTGCGTGACACAGGAGTTGCAAAACTCGTTAAGTTAGTGGTTCAGTACTGGATCTAAAATGGTTCCGTAGCGAGAGAAAGACTGAACGACACAGCGATAGATAAAATAGCTCGTTTTTCCCAACTTATCCCACGATTACAGGCAAAACGGTGGTCAGTGATAAGAACGAGTGCACTCGTCAAATTATTTGAAACAGCGCTCCTGTGTAATTTCTCTTTCGTGGTCCCAATCTATACCTATCCACTACAGTTTTACATAATATCTCACCTTAGAAACTCGGCACACCAGTTTTGCAAAACTGATCCAATTTTTCGTCAGGACGGGTTACATGATCGTTGTATCAGCTGCTAACTTCTAACAAGATTTGTTCTGTTCATTCAAGAAGTCAAGATATCAGGCAAAGAGAATTTTCCTGATCGTGTCGTACTGATTTCCAAATTATTTCGTTTTTAACAGTGTATACAGTACACTGTAGAAATGATAGTCTTTTGAAACAGCTTGATTCGGGTATTACGCTATTAATGATGAAATTCTATTCGTAATCGATCCGCGGATCAAACAACCGAGCGATGGAGTGCGATTTTCCAGATTCCCGAGAAGGTAGAAGCTGGTGGGGAATATTTAGGGGATATAAGGTGCTGTAACGAGACAAGGCGACCGTACGGTACGTACAGGAGTCGAATAGATAGTGAAAGTCCCTCGGAGCGAACAGGAGTACTGAGGAAGGGAGCGGGGGTCAGCAGGAACGGGGGGGCTCCAGTAAGGTATATGAGGGCCTCAGTTCGAGCAATCGCCGGTACTCTAGCCTCGCTGCCTACTTACATTCACACACACTAACACAACCACCGACCGCCGGGAAACACGATGCACACCCTCGCGACGGTATGTATCTGAGTGCATCATCAGCATCATCGTCGTCTCGTCATTGTTCTCTCCGCAAAGGTCCGTCTCGCGGATCTTTGCCTGAAAACAAAATGAAAAATACCACCTTGGAATGCCAAAAGGAAAATCGCGTGTGATGTGATAGTGGCTGTGACCAGTGTGCATATCCGTATCGTGAGCTTGGAAAATTGACGCTTATACAAGCCGTGAAGAATTCATTCTGATTTTCACTTATTACATTTTAGCTTTATCAGCAAACTCTTTATATTCCTCTTTATATTCATTCTTTGTGCTTGTTGGCAATATAAACTGTTTTATGCGATATTTTAAATATATATCTAATTATGGCGATAAAGAATCATATCACAGTTTATTATAAAAGGTATACAAATTCACGTGATTTACAGTCTCATAAAAGGAATCTTAAGATCGTGATTAAAGAACACTTACACTAAACCGCGATATTCTCTGAATTTTTGCATCAATTTATTAACATTTCATTGTCTTTCGTTTTACCATATAAGAATCATGTTGCTCACGTTGGAATCATTAAATTCGCGGCAAGAAATGAAACGATTGAAAATGACCGGCGTATAGGCTTGGTCGCGTTGCGCAATTCTTGTGATCCCGTTTCCTACTTTCTTCCACGTCGTGGAAAAATTTATTATGATTTCACCTATTATGAGCCGGGCGAGACGCATTTATTTTTACAGCGCACCTACTGACGCTTGTAGAAAGACTATTATATAATTCATCATTATGTTCGAGTGCGGTCGTGTGCGATGACCGACGAGAATATGAACAGTTCTTGAGGTCGGTTGCACCAGCATCAGTTAACCATGGTTAATTAACTCCTGCAGCAAAAGTGCGCCATGTAAGACTATTGTTTCGTTGTTCTCTCCATCTTCCTGTGATGAAAATATTCCGAACTCTCAAAATATTTTTCTACCGGTTTTTCATAAATAAATTGTATGGAAATAAATAGGAAGGAAAAAAGAAACGCAGTTTAGTCATGTTCCGTATTTTAAATTTTCTAAAATCACACGGAAGGCCACCCCAGTAACTAAGCATAAACGAAATACGGAAAACGGAAATAAGAATTGCTAATTAATATCAAATATCCCCGTATACAATATAAAATATGTATGAGAAAATAGGGAATAACACACGAAAGATACAGTTTTGCTGAAATAAAAAAGAAATTGGTTAACAATAAATATAGAAATAATAAAAACAATTTTGTTGAACTATCAAAATAATTAAGTAGTATTCTCAAGCTGTTAGTATATCAACATTTTTTATAATATTGCTTATTTTTTGTAGCATTGCTGAATTTTTTAATTTCTTATATATAATTATTTTGACAGTCCAAAACAAAGTTATATCTATATATCTAGCTAAATTTTTAGATATTTCAACAAAATCGCTTTTTATTCGTATTAAGAAATCGACGAGAGATAATGATGTAACATAAGTATAACAGCGTGGCATAATACAATAAAAGGAAATAAATTCACGGAGGTTTAATAGTTAGTTTTTTTTAATTAGTTCGCAAATCCGGTTAATTGATGCTGGTTCAAATGCCGGCTCTCGGCATTTTGCGCCTACTTAGAGTTACAGGAAGCATACTATGCAGATTGAATGAATTAATTATTTCTTGTTAATTTTAGAATCAGCACGCGGTCGTAATCGCGCACGTATGGGATAGATAAGGCATGCATAGTCACGCGTGAACGATCGCGATTAATAACTTGATTTATCGGTTCTCAATATCAGTGTACTCGGTTCATAGCTCGGTTTTCGCGACTTAAGACCCATTTTGCTGACATGGAATTCGACACCCTTCGAGCTTCGCGCAATCGATTCTCAACCGTATTGCAACGTTGAACGCATCTGGCGGTTAAGATTCTGCTCTCTATAGCTTGCTAGACAGCCTTAAGTTCACGCGCTGTCACGCGCTAATCCCACAACTGCATTTTACGTAGTTAATGATTCATAAAACTTTTGTAACACTATACGTCCACCCTTACGTCATGCGCAACGGCATTCTCGTTTTACTTTGTATCAAATTTTGACGTTCTTTTCTTTGAGTAAAAACGTAACAAGCATTACAGAATGGCATAAGAATGGCAACTCAATAAATCTAGCGGCACTAAAGCAAGAAGCTGTAAAATGACCGTCTATTACTATCCTGAATTATCTACTACAATTTTTGTATGTAATTTGTAGTTTGTCTTAACTATTACCTAAATTACAAAATTAAAAAGTTATTAAATAGTTAGGAAAAAGATGCATAAATCTAAAACAATGACTTTCCAGTAAATATCAATTAACAATGTTATATAATTGTTAGTTATAATTTATTACTCAGTATAATTATGTATAATATAAATTATAATAGTTATATAACACATATAACATTTATACCGTGTTGAGTAAAAAATTATAAATTACAACTCAATTACAATTCAATTTACATAATTAAATTAAAATTGAATGTATATGTGCGAAATATAAGAAAAACTCAGATAACATTTATGTTTCATAAGATATCTAAAAGACGTCTTTTAGATGTCAAAAAGATGTCTAATTAATGAAGTCTTTTAGATATCTTATGCAAGTTATCTGGAACGTTGCAATTAAATGCTACTTCTATAACTAATATATAAGCAATTTCCAATATTAATTGGTAATATGTGTCAAAATAAAATGAACTGACAGTGCTTCCGCGTTTCAGGTAGCAACGGTGCTCACCGCACTGCTAGCGGTATCGGCACAGCAGTACCAGCGACCTGGCGATAATTATATAGACGATTATGCCCAATATGACTCTCAACGACCTAGCCAGCCGACTCCACGTAGCTACGCGACCGATCCGGATCGTCAATCGGCTGCACCAGCGAATCCGAAGCCGACGCCGGTGGCAATTCTGAAGCAAATCAATCGACACAATGAGGATGGCTCATACACGTACGGTTTCGAGGGTGCGGATGGCTCCTTCAAAATCGAGACCAAACTGCCGACCGGCGACGTGAAGGGCAAATACGGTTTCGTCGATGACACCGGCAAGGTCCGTATAGTCGAATATGGCGCGGATCAGTATGGTTTCCAACCGGCCGGTGAAGGTATCACCGTAGCTCCTCCAACCCTATTCGACGAGACCACCAGCAAAGAAGCTCTCGCGGCGCAGGCTTACGAGGAGCAACAACAGCAACAGCAACGGCAATTGGCTCGTCCAGCTTATCAGCCACAGTCACACACCCAAGCTGTATACGCTCCCGCGCAGGTAGCCCCAAGCAGACCCGCGCTTCCTAAACCTCCAATTTTCACTCCGGCTGCCGCAGCACCCCAAGCGCCGCGACAGCAGGCTCTGCTGCACCAGAACTACGAACCAGCACCGTCCTCACAGCTCTACAATCAGGGACCAGCTCAGTTCAGTCCAGCGCCGAATCAGGCTAATGGCCGTTCCCAACCGCAGGCCCGCAGCGGCGCAAATGGCGGTATCCTGGACCAGCTCGCCAGGGACTACGCTCTGCCTCAGGGAGTGGCACCGCCGTTGCACGACATCAGCTTCGGCTACTACTAGGCCGTCTAGTCCTACTCCTTTGCCTACCGAAGAGTAGGAGAGTCTGGGATCAATCGTTTGAACCTCAACAAAATTTTATGCCGCTCAACTGTAACGCTATATTGAAACTCTAATGTTTTTCATAGAATAGATTTACGTTACATCGCTGTAGAATTTAATTTTCGTGTAGAACAATTAAGCGCTATATACATTATAATATAGCTATAAGAGTGCGATCTATTTAATGTTGCAAATGTTTCGAAGCACTTGATTGACTATCAGAAAAATTTTACTAACTGACCAATCAAAGAATGCTTCAAAGTATTTATAGTATCAAGTGAACCGTAGCCTACATATTATGATTGATCCCAAATTCGATTGCTTGTTTCGGTTGCGTGTTGGTCTTGTATTCTATTCGTGAATGGGACGCGTCGGCGACTGGATAACTCGTCATAATTTCGGCGTGGCCCACTCTACCTGAAGTGGATGGCAGTGTGATTGATGATTGTCGCGAATAGATCATATATTACAATTGGAAGTTGAAAACTATTAGTCTATTGACGTCTAAAATCGTAAGTCGAAAGATAAAATTCTATTCCGTCCACGTAATACGATTTTTTCACATTAATAGTATTTAATTAACAATTAAAATATGTATCCAAAATACAAAAAAATAATACACTTGTACATAAATTTCACATTGTTCTAATAGCGAAAAACTGTGATAAATTGCAAAATATAAAATAATTTTGATGGAAATTAATATGTTATTCTAAAAGGGTTAGCCTTATCATATTTCCTTTATCGGAAACAAAACAAAAGAATTTTTCGAGGGCTTTTGAAATTATTTTTTAAGCAAATAGGCGTCAAGATCTGAGTTTTCGACTTCTTATTTTAATTATTTGTTTTCACGAATATATCCATCGAGTTAATATTAGGAAATAATATTTAACATTATCTTTTTATCGATCATTAAAATTATTGTCACGCATATTATCATTCGTCGAAAAATTGTCTAGATAACAAGCAGTACCGATTAGATATAGTAAGAGTTGTAAAGGAATGTAAATAAAATTTCTCGTTTTTCTCTTCAGTGGGCGTTCGCTTTTACTCCGGAAAACGCAGTTCGCCTTGAGAACAACTTGCCACTGCGGAGTGTCGCGATCAGCTGGAATTGTATTTTCACGACAGGGTCTCACGCGAGAATGTTATGTTTATTGGGCGTGCTTATTATTATAATTAGATTATTGTAAGGTAATTCGAGTGGAATAAAGTGAGGCCAATACTAAATTTTACCGCCTATGTTATGGAACGCAAAAAATTTCCGTACAATGTCGGTGTGACGAGATTTCCTGATTTCACCTTTCCAATTATGGTCCTCGTTAGTCATAAAGGCTTTCAGTGTTTATATTTGCTAAACTCACAAAAGAATAGAGTCACCTTCGCTCGAACGTATGCGTTATAGTAATTTATATTCCATGCTAAATTACCGGATTGTTCTTCACATTTATAAATACAATAAGAAAACTTAATTTATTTCATAAATTGCATGTAACGATAACAATGTAATACACTCAATTGTATCATATTTTTGCAAACAAAATATCAAACTCTGACATTAGTCACAGAAATTTTCTAATTATTTTGTATATAAAATTATTTCAAGATTTTCTTACAAAAAAAGTACTTCAGTTTTAAATGAATATTGCTCCAATCACAAAATATATACATATAATAGAAAATAACATTTGTAATTTTATAAAAATAAGATTTTATTCCTACAAGAACATTCCTGATAACACCTTTATTAAAGATTTTTTAAATCTTATTACTTTGTTTTTGAACGAATTCGTTCAGTATACGCAACAGCAATTTAAAAACGCCTGATATAATGACAACCAAAGTCACATTGTTGTAGAAACGGCTGCATACGGTTGCGATCTTATCTTGCCCCTCCTTAACTTCTAAAGATTACGAAATACCGCAAGTAAGTATAAACCGGTCCGATTTCTCACAGGTTAAATTTTCGCATCGCATGTGTCTGGCCTTTATATTCTGCTTTTTTTTTTCTTTTTTGCCAAAATCAAGTATTCCCACGCCCTATTTGCGCGAATGATTCGCGGTTTCTTCAGAATTTCTCCACGACGATAATTCGACACAGATACTTTTCAAAATATTCACCTTTTCCAGAGACAATCCATCACAATCGAGTACTGTTATACTGAACAAAGAGGTTTTACTTTCGTTTTCAGAAAGTCTCAAGGTGAACAAGCCGGCGTTATACTTTTCGTTCTTCAAAAGTTTCTCAGCGATCGGTTTGTTGTAAAAAATGCATGCATACTATGCGCGTTATTACGTATTGATATTGTAAACTCTTGATAAAACGCGACCTTGCTGGCCCCACAATTTTCGCCACTACTTCCTAGCTTTCGTAACAATACGTCAGAAATAACGCAGCGAGTATACATGATAAATGTTCCTTTTTCGATTGCTTGTCTATTTATTAAATCTATATATATACACCTATATGGACAAGATATTATATATATATATATATATATATGGTATGTATCTATATAATTGCCTTTCTTTTATATATATGTATATATAAGGATATCTCTCCTCTACTACAAAATAAGATATAAAGATATAGGTACATAATCATATATACATAATAGAGAAATTTGTCTCTTGAATGAAAAAATTCTTCAATCTAGAATAGACTAATCTTGAACATTACGGTTTTATATGCATGATGCTAAATATTATAGCATCATTAATTACAACAGTGAGTAAAGATTTATTCTAAATGAAATATATATAAACTTAAATTTACACACATTATACACGTTTCACTTGTCGCAAGACAATAAATGAATCTCATTTAATCCGAGAAAAAAGATTCAGAATTATTAATATAATCTTAATATTATAATTGTTTTATTTTAATATTAATATACATATAAAGCAGAGAAGATTAAATATACGTCAAGAATATTTTTTTTGTCACGCGTTATCAGAAATCCTTTCTGAATGCGTAAAATTTATTTTCCTTAAATCCTCTACGTATATGTAATTTCTGCAGTAGAATTTATTTCTCTTCTTTTATAAACCGCATTTAATCTCATCCTTGTTTGCATTATTTATGTTGTTATATCACACATTTCAAGGGCCGTACTGCAGAACGCATAATAAAAATATCCTCTTTCGATCGCCCATCATGTCGATTCACAACGTAAAGACTCGCGAATTTACGCATCCGTTTATCAGCGAAGGGCATTGTACATCAGTATAAGCACAGCGTTCACGGTTACAAGACAAATTGCAATGAGATGTACCTTGGCGTCGCGCCAAACGATCGCGTCATAACACGCCTGCGTGCAAGGTGGGCATTACTTCATGATCGCGTTGACCTTCTCGCATGCAGAGAAGAACCGTGCCAAGTGTCGTGGACATGGCGATGTCTAAAGGCTCGTCATCATTAAAGACCCTATAACAGAGTCTGTCCACGAACGATTTTATTAAAATCCTACGGGAGAGAAAGATATAGTATGTCTCCATGTAAATACTATTACACTCTTAACTTATATTGTTTCCCTCTGTAGGTTAAATAAAGACTGTATACAATAATTGGAAAATTTGTATTAAAATTAATACATAATTTTACATGTCCTAAAACAGTCCTCTCAAAAATTTTTGTTAATTTATTATAACACAAGAAGAGTATAATATTAGAAAGTCTTATGAACAACAAAAGTAACAAAAATATTATATCTAAAATTAACACAAAAATGTAACACTGATAGAATTTGCGAACAATTATATTTCTTCAACATAATGTTTTAAAAAGTATTATTTTTATGTTATTATATTCACTTGCTCATAAATTGTGTTGCTTTAACACTAAGAGAAATGTTAAATATTATAATAATTTAACACGACATATTCAAATAATACAATCACATTATATTAAATTAGTACTTATTGTCAAATATATTAAAAATTTAACACAAGATTTTAACAAGAATTTAAATAAACTGTGTCTAATATAAATACAAAATGTTTTTTACCTTGTAGATAGAATGAGGGTACAAGTTAGAGAGTGAAATAGTTATATATATATATACATGTATACTATTTCACTAAAAAAATAACATTTGTATATATATGTATGTCTTTCTCCTTCGTAAAATTTTGAGAAAATTGCTTATATGTATATCAGATCTTATTACAAGATTTCTCTAATTTCTATATCTTTTAAAGAAAAAGAAGAAGCCAGTATGTCGAATGGCACGATTATCTTCAATGGGGATGAGCCGTTACCGTTCGAGCAGTACATTGGTAGTATCGCTACATAAAACGTATTGACATTCGTTGGCCGCTGCTTAGAAAGCTAAGACGCGTATCGAGATAGCGTCAATTATCGCAATCTTATAATTCTCTTTAGAATCCCAATTATTCTTATTGACTTATTCGTCGATTACGAACTAATGATAACGCGCGACTCGATGACGAGGTAGAACATGACTTGCGCTATAAAATTCGTAATGAAGGAAAATCACGCGTGGCTCGTGAAATTATATGTATACGCTAGTCGTAACGGGCCGTTGACACTTGTCAGCTAGGCTAGTCACGCAAAACGCTCCGTCAGATTTCAACATTAGATGGCAGACTGGCAGGCTTCACCTACCTGGGCTGAATTTATGCTCTCCGACGGAGTTGCACGAAATCTACGATAACGTTGATGCAAGCAATCGTGACTTTCAATCGAGGCACGCTCGGCGAAAATTCGGAGGAAATAATTGAAACTTTTCTGACATCATAACTTTTTGTTTGATTTGCTAAACACGATTTACTCACACATATTAAACTTAGAATTTCCTAATTTTATTAAAAGAATTATGATCTTTTTTTCTTTATTTAAGTTTATTCCTTTGAATTTCAAAAATGCTGAATACAATTAAATTGTTTAAATAGCTCGACTAATTTATTGCAAAAAAAAACATTTCATAATTCATCAAGATAATTAACACTAGAATTACAAAAGCAATTAAAATAAATAAATGTAGTTTGCAATTTTTTTATTAAAATCATAATAGTGCTTCTGATATTTTTATTTGATTTTTGTTGCAATATGTAAATAGATTAATTTACTTTTCCCCTTTTCTTTCCTTAAAACAGATATTGATGTAATATATTATAAATATAACACAAATGGATATAATATCATCGGAAGTTCAAATGTTAATAACGGCGAGTTCCGTATAAATGCATAACGGAGTGATAGTCTCCGAATAAATTTTTACGCAATACAGGAAATAAAACTGATTAAATTACGAGTTGCACGCAAGTTACAAGTGAATAACGAAGATATATGTAACGCTCCTGTAAACACTTAGACCGGATCTGCAAGTGTGAAAATAGCTTCGTGAAAATAACTTTCCCCTTCGAAAGTTTTAAGACGGTCAGCTGAGCGCCATGGAATCCGCTCGCGATCGCGTTAAGATGTATAACAGCATTAATAATGAACTGTATACACAACCCATACACAATTTTCTACACATTATATCAAAATATAATCGAAATATTGTATATTACGCGATACGTACAATATATTCATAATTGCAAAATATTTCTAATTATTTTTTTCTAGTATCTCTAA